TGGATATGGCAGCGTATCTCTTCCGCCGTACCCGTCGGCAGCAACTGTACCTTCTTCCAATCATTGACATTTGCGGGGTACGGCTTGTCGCGCGACCCCATCCGGGACCAGCGCAAGGCACCACGGGTCGTGTGTCGCCCGCTTCCAGCTGGGCTTTGGATGGTTCCGCTGCCAGCCTACGGTAGCTAGTTATTTTTGTCTATTAAAAAGTTCGTGCTTTGCTTCTTGCAGAGGAATACTATGTTCAGCCCTGGTTGCGAGTCGTCGGGCCGTTTAGATGGATGGATGACGAGGAGAGGCGAAGAGTCGGAAAACTCCCCTATCGAGAATAAAGAGGGTAAGTGAAATCCACCATGTGATAATTCGACTCACAGGTGGGTTTGGAATTTTCAGTCCACGATTCGAGGGCCGCAGACGGAGAGGCCGAACCACCCAGTTTTGACAACGAAATTCAACCATCCTCGCGGATTTTCAGACTCGTCATGAACGTCCAGATGGCTTTGATGGTATTCCTCGTCTTCTCGTGGTTGTACAACTACATTATGCATGAGAAGTAAAGTACAGACGATTCACCCGGAATTGTCCTACCATTACCTGAATAAAGATGGATCAGCAATTTAGCAATGAGCGCGCAGTTAGATCTCAAGAGCTAACCCACACTCTCATATCCTTGTCTATCTCTGCATTTTAGCGCTTCGACTTCGAAAAGAAAACCCAGAGAAATTTTTAAAAAAACCATACAGCTGAACTTGAAAGCCCTTGGTAGGATTCGAACCTACATCTCCCTCTGATAAATTTCCAACCTTCCATTGATTTAAGATGATCGACCGTTCATCTACAAGGACTTCGTTGTCCTTCTGTCCTCGTGCAAAATACCGCACAGAGCTCGGACGCATGTCATCCCGAAATTTCGAGAGGAATTTAATCCGTTTACGTTCGCAACTTCAAGCTATCTATACATATCAGAAATTAGCGCGTGTTTCTGGGAGTACCGTAGAGCCCGAGTCAAGAGGAACGTTCAATAGGCTTGCTTCGGAGATTTGAGCTCGGTGATTCCGTGCCAGTAGGCGCTGGTTAATGAAATGATGCGGTGCAAGAGATGGTCGAGAGATCCCGCTGCGAAAGTACTTTGATTGAATGCTTTATGTCAATGTCAGGAAAAAAAAAGAGGGCCCAGACAAAATCAACGAGTAGAGCCAACTGCGGTGCTGTTTCTAAACTTAACTAGGTCGGGCTAAATCTCGGTCGGAATATCACCCACCTTCTGAAGCATGCGCAAGACTTTGATTCGAGTGGCCACGGGGACTAGTAGGTCATACTGCGGCGCGGAGGAGCCATTCCGCCCCATGGGAAAGACTAGATGTGGGCATGTATTCAAGCAAACCATTCAACTAGCGCGCGCGAAGAGTTGCAAAAATGACAGACGCCCAGTTCGAGTTGTCGCATTGAGGCGCAGTGTAATGATCAAGGTTGGGCAGGATCTAGGCACGACCATTCGCGAGACAGCGCACGGGCGGCAGTGCAATATATTTCGGGATCTGGTCTCCAGTTACTGCCGCTGCCGAGACGCGATGGCATCTCGAAGCTGCAAGGGTTCCCGAAATCTTCATTCATCCAAGCATTTTCGGCACGAAGCGTTATTCAAGCGATCTTTGACAGACAGACGTGGCGCTGACGATCCTCGTCCAGCTGGTGGCAGTAAAAATGCAGAAAAATTGCAGCAAGCTTCGTTGACCGCAAGGATGGATTCGCGTCACTTGCGATGGATTTTGGGAGGCGAATGTGCCCAGTAGAGTGAGGCAAGGCTGAGGATAAGAATCCACGTCACGGTCTGAAATCAAAAAGTCACACTCCACTGTTCTCTTCCTCTCTTCCTCCCATCTAGTCGTGGCCGGGACCCACAACTTTCCTTGTTTCTGCCCAAGATGATGACCCGAACGCGATATGTGGTCCTCTTCCTGGCTACCATTGTTCGTCCTTGTCGATCTGTATACGCTCGTACTGACTTTTTCCTTTTGCAATAGGTCAGTCTACATTACATTCTAAGCTTCTCGCATGAGGGATACGGACGCGCGACGTCTCTGGAAAACATCACCACCAAGTTCAGAGGGGGCGATTCCGGGCCACAGCACACGAAAGTGTGGCATGAGCCCCCATACAAGACGCCCGTACCCGATAAGTACTATCTCAAGTCGAACGGCACCACGACTCGCAAGGCCAACGCTGTGATCGTTATGCTCGGTGCGTGCTCCCCTTTCCTTTATTCCAGATCTATTTCGCTGAATTTTCGCTATTTTTGCTCCGCAGCACGCAACGGTGACCTAGACGGCGTCGTAAAAAGCCTGACGAACCTCGAAGCAAAGTTTAACCGCAAATTTGGTTACCCGTACGTCTTCCTCAATGAGGAGCCCTTCTCGGCCGAGTTCAAGAACGCGATACACGCGCTCACGGATAACAAGGCCGAGTTTGGCCTCATCCCGCACGACCACTGGTTCCAGCCCGATTCGATCGACGAGGAGAAGGCTGCGGCGGCGCGGAAGAAGATGCACGAGAACAAGGTTATCTATGGCGGTGTGTCCCTTGTCCTCGTTGGTTGCGTCGATGCTGATGGTGTGCATAGGGAGCTTGCCGTACCGTAACATGTGTCGCTTCAACTCGGGCTTCTTCTTCCGCCACCAGCTGCTCGACAAGTACCAGTTTTACTGGCGTGTTGAGTACGTGCACTTCTTCTCTGTTATAACTGCGGGCTAACACCCACGCAGACCCGACGTCAAATTCTATTGCACGCTCGACTACGACCCCTTCCTCTTCATGGCAGATGAGGGAAAAAAATACGGCTTCACCATCGCGCTTCCCGAGTACATCGCCACCATCCCGACGCTGTGGGACGCCGTCAAGGAGTTTGTCCGCGAGAATCCGGAGCTGGTCGAGAGGGACAATGCGATGGGCTTCCTGAGCGATGATGCCGGGGCGACCTATAACAATTGCCATTGTGAGTTCGAGAGAGCGCGAGCGATAAGGGAAAGACTGACTCATCCGCGCAGTCTGGTCCAACTTTGAGATCGCCGACCTCGATTTGTGGAGGAGCGAACCGTACATGAAGTTCTTTGAGCATCTCGATTCCAAAGGGGTGAGTCGTGTGTCCTCCTTCCTTCTACCCTTCCTCCCCGCTTCGTCCCGACCACCTGGTTCTCCACCTTCCTCCTCCTCCCGTTTTGCGCCCCGCCCTTTTCCTTGCCGCTGCTGACCACCCAACCCCCTCTCAGGGCTTCTACTACGAGCGTTGGGGCGACGCCCCCGTGCACTCCATTGGTGCCGCGCTCTTTGCGCGCAAGGACCAGATCGTGAGTCCCCCCCCTCTTCCTCTCCTACTCCTACCTCACGCTAACGTGCCCTGTAGCACTTCTTCGACGACATCGGTGCGTTCTTTTCCGCCCCTTCATCAGCGTACCCGTCCTGCATTCCCTCCTTTCCGACACTGCCCTCCTTGACCTCTGTCTCCCTACTTGCTCTCCCGTCCACGCCACGCTCCCCCGTAGCGATGCTCACGTCCACGACCCCGCTCCTTGCGCCCCCCTTACGCTGCCCCTCCCTCCCCGCCCATTCTGTTTGATTCCCTTACTCCTTCCTTTTCATTCCTTCACCCCCACACTGACGCTGACGCTCCCCGCTCACGTTACGTCATACCTCACGTCCTGCGCTCTTTCCTCTCCGTCCCCCTCCCCTGCTACGCCCCCTTCCCGCCCTTCCGAGTTCTCCCCGGTCCTGCGCTCCTCCCCTTCACTTTCCTTCTCTGCTACTTCACCTTCCGCCTTCCTGATCTCCCCTCCTGCATTCCTATCCCCGTCCCGGCCCCACTTGCCGCCTCCCTCACGACCTTGCCGTCCCTGCTTGCCCCCCCCCGCCGTCTTCCCCCTTCCGCGCGCACCTTGCCCCTCACCTCACCCTTCCCCATCCACATCCCTGCTCCCCCTCCTACGCTCAAGTGACATACCTAACCCTCTCCACAGGCTATTTCCACAATCCCTTCAAACACTGCCCACAAGAGCCTTATCACTCCCTCAATAAGTGCGAGTGTGATATCAATGATAATTTCGGTACGTCGTTTGTCCGTTTGTCTTTCTTCCTCGTCTGCTTTTGCGTCTGTTACGATGACCGGGCGCCGGACTCCTTCGTTACTTACCGCGCCTCTTGCTTGTCTTTCTCCCTTCTCTCCCTCTTCCCGTCTTCCGTGTCTGTGCGCGTCCCCTCCTCCTCCGCTCCCCTCCCCCACGCTTCCACTTCCTCTGTATCCTCCCCTCCTGCGTACCTGTGCCCGCTCTTCTCCCTCCCTCCCCTCCCCCCTTCTTCCACAGGCCTTCCTTGGCTTCCTCCCTCCCCTGGCCTTATCCCTCGTCGCTCGTCTACTGCTGTCTCCCTCCCTTCTCTCCTTTGTCTCCCTCTTTTCCTGTGTCCCTCTCGCTCTTCCTTCGTCCCTTTCACTTCTGCTCTCCCCCCTGCCCCTCTGTCCTGTCTACGTCTGCCTCCACCCTTGTCCATCTCTCCGCACCTCTCCTCCCTCTTCTTCGCGGCCACTTTCACTCCTGCCGTCCTTCTCTTCCTTCCTTCCTCCCTCCCCGCCTTCCCATTTTCCTCCTCCTTCCCCATCCAAGCGCTAACCCGCGCCCTACAGACCGCGAAGACTGGTCGTGTCTCAATCGGTACGACCGCATATTCACGTAGACGCGGCCGTCATCGGTGCCATGATTTGAAGGGGAGGGAGTACAATATTGACGTAGGGCGCGCCGCGATATTGCTGGTGGTATAGGTACACATACTTACGGGTACGAAACGATATGGATATCCGCTATCCGCATGCATGCAGCACAGTAATTATTTGTATTATCTATGGACATGGACGATGATGCGGATGTCGGCGCGGGGCGCGATGATATGGGAAATTTTCCCTTTCGTGTTCACGCAGCCCGGACTATGAGTATGTACATATAGTCGGGTGTGGAGCCCTTGTGGATCAGTGGCAGATCATCTTCAATTAATAGCGTAAACATCTCTATATTTATGAAGAGGACGTAGGTTCGACTCCTACCCAGGGCATACATGGTGCAGTTCTGATTTTTTTCTCCTCTTTTACTTTTACTTTTACTTTGTTTCAGTTCAGGTGATGAAATACCGGTTCAAGATATGTGGCAACACAAGAGGGTGTTCTGATACAAATTTTGATAGACTCGTAATGACGGAAATACTTGGTGCAAGCATTATCTTGTAGGGCTAGGCCTATGTACGGCTTCTCAAAAATTGCTATTTTTGCATTTTCAAAAGCAAACCTACTACATAGTAGAATTCCGGTGGTACAAATGCGCCATTTGTGATTTCAAGAAGCGGCGAGACAACAATCGTTGTCAAGATTTCTCAAGCCGGCGGCAGGTTGAACTTGGTTGACCTGCCTAGTCGTTCTCACCAAGTATTTAGACGTGGTCGTACTTTGACTGTTGAGTGCGCCAAGTGAGGAAGCGCCAAGACTTGGGCATCAATGTGGCAGTGCACAGCCTTCTTTCCACCACCACAACTCGGACGTAGAGTTTGAGTCTCTTGGTGTGTAATAACTTGTCAAGTGCCACTTGTTGTTTCAATTTGCGGCCGCGCAGGCAATCCTCATCCTCCTGAATAGAATATGTCCGTATGCTTTCAATGTGGCGCCGTTTTCCCTGTCTCAGCGGAAGGAGAATACGATCCCGCTGTTACTCCTGGAACCCGCCACCGTACCCTCTTGAGCACCAATGAGCCACCAGAGGACTCGGAATTGGGTTTAGTTCGCTCGGTTATAGCCAACGCCGGCGTCCGCTTGACGCGTCTCGATACAGATATAGCACAACTCCGGGACCGGCTGAGACAGCTGGAGGAAGATCATTCAGCGCTTTCGAGTTTCCGAACGCAAAGTATGGCGATCCTCTCTCCTCTCAGGAGGATCCCGGCCGAAGTGCTTTCCGAAATATTCCTGTGGACTTTGCCGTCCCTCAGGGAAGGGGCAGCGCGCGGAAGATTCCAGATGGCAGATAGCCCTTGGAGTATGACGCACGTAAGCCGTCGTTGGAGGGCAGTTGCCATCTTAAATCCTTCCCTGTGGTCAACTATCGTCATCAGCTATCAAATCGCTACAAATCCGTCGTATTCATTGTTCATGCTCAAGGCCCAGATGGCAAGGGCCCAAAGGTTGAAGATTCATTTCGATGGGACGGAGCAATCCGACTCTCGATCTCAAATCGAAGTATTCGAATGTCTCGTATGTCAGTCCTCGCGATGGGAGGATCTCAGTCTTGCGTTGCCTTTGGCCCTGGTTCCTCTCCTCGCTAGTGTCCGAGACCGCGTCCCCTTGCTACAAAGGGTATGGATCGAGTGGTCTGAGGCGGCGAATGTGGCAGGAGTGGACTCAATGGATTGTTTCCGAGTCGCCCCTTCTCTGGTCGACCTCAGCGTCGATAATGAATACGGCTTCATCCCATTTTCCTTTCCTATCCATAACCTTACACGCTACCAATTCGACGCGCCGTGGGAGGTGCATCAAGCGGTGTTGAAGTTTGGGCAGAACCTTGTCGAGGCGCGCATGCTCATTTCCGAAGAATCCTGGCCGACTCCAGGGGAAGCCATCCATCCCCCAGCATTGCGCCGTCTCTTTTCATCACATCTCCAGGTTTTGGATTATCTCAGAACCCCCTGCTTAGAAGAAATCGCCATCGATTACGTTGAAGAGGAAGTTCCGACTCTCCGAACCCGGCTTGAATCCCTTGTCCTACGTTCGAGATGTTCTCTCCGAAGGCTTTCTCTCTTGGGTCCATGCGCTGTCGATCCCATTGGGGAGATCCTGAAAAACATTCCCTCAGTTGTGGAGCTCATGATAACTGTTGCCTTGGCAGCTTTCAGTGACTCCACCAATGCCTTAATCTCGTATCTCAGTGTTGGCGACCCTCCTGGCCCGGTCGTGGCTCCCCAGTTACGCGGCATCTTCGTCGCATGCAGGGATGAGACCCGCATCGACTATACCCAATATCTGGAAATGTTGAAATCCAGACGGAAAGCTGTGAATTGCGCCGTCCTGGAATCTGCTGTATTATTGTGGGGATCGAACCCAGGCCCAGACCTCATTACTATCCAAGGCTTACACGCGCTTCGCCAGGAGGGATTGCAACTCAGTTTGCTAAATGAGATAGACCACCAAACGGAAGCCGCGGACCTTTGGCGTAGTTTGATTTTGCATCCTCTGTGGAACTAAACGCCTGCAGAAAATTGTCTTTGATTTTTTATCTATACTTCCTCCGACTCCGGGTCATTGCATGATTTACGATCAGAACACTGTAGGGTGTCTATATGCAGGGCTACAAGCCACCCAAGAGTCATTATTTTGGGTGCCCACATCCAATGCCCGCTATCTATATTGATAGTGGGTTTTGGGGGGAACTCGAAAAGTTCGTGTCAGCTCGGTTTTTTCGTCCCAATTAGGAAATCACCTCCCTTTCCTGGAAAAATGATGTTATTTTTCTCACCCCTTGCTGTCGGTTTCAGCTGTCCGACTCCTTGTTCGTTACTGCACCCGAACTCCTCTGCCCCTCTCATTGCTTCTTATTTCCTCCGCCTGAACTGTGTCCCCCGCTGCTTCTTCCTTCCCGCATTCCGGATCTGTTTTACTTGTGTACCGATTTTCAAGCCTCATTCAAACAATGTCTGTTGAAGTGAACAGTGTGCTGGCCACCGTTTCTGTGACTGGCCACTCCTCGTTTTCCACTATGATCTAATGTGATGTTGTCGAGACAGCTGATTACGACGATATGCTCGGTTTTGACTGGGCGGACTTGTTGCGCGGTTACCGGATCGATAGTTCATTTGACACTTGGTTTTTTCTCTTCTCTCCCTGTCATCCCGGCGGTATTCTCTTTGACCCTTTTACTTTATTCATTGCTCATGCCATTTTTTCTGTGTAGGCGCTCCCCGCAACAGAGTACTATCCGTGGTCTGCCAGCTAACTCAGCAGCTGAAGGTATGCAATCCATTTTTTTTCTGGCGCTTCCATCTACCTCTTTATAAAATTAAGCATGTCCGTCCGAAGCCTTTTCAAGCTCCGCTTTTGGGCGATCAGGCCCGAGGCTTTGGAAGCGCTGGGGCCAGACCTTTGGAAGTGCTCAATAAACGGCGCTTCCTCGGGGCTTTTAGCCCCATGATCAGCTTTAAGCGCGTGCGCGCCTATAAAGGTGTACACAATGCCAAACTTCTTTTTTGGCTCACTGTTAAAGCTTCCGAGGTGCTGATTCAAGCGCGGCTTTGGAAGCGCTGGACCTTTGGAAGTTTGGAAGCTCTCAATACATTGTCCAACATTTTCTATTTGAATATCCGCAAGTAGGAGCCGGCGCGAAGCGCCGGCGACTGCTTGTTGCTCAATACAATTACCAAGCTCCTCGAGTCCATTGTTGCTCATTTCATAACTCTGAACCTTACTCTGAAACTTCGCACTTTCAAACACTCAGTGACTGTGCATATCTGCCTGCACATTCACGCTCTGACGATTCAAAAGATCCTCTGTTCGTCAATTTGTGATCCCTGTGATAGCGAAAAACATGTCTGCAGACAATTTCGTAGTGTTTTCCCATCTCCTCAGTTCATGATGTTTCATGCTTATTCCTTTTATCTGCTTCAGTTGACGGATTACCCAATGATCGCATATCTGTTATATCTTCTTGCCTTGGTTCGGCAGATAATTCTCGGCTCTATTTGCATTCTCATCTGAGAAGAATAGCAGCCGCTTTACTCCTACACCAAATTTTGAGCCTCGTTCCAACAACAAGTATCAGTCAAAATAAATGCTGTACTATTGTCGAGGGCTAGTCGGTCACCTTAGATTTAATTGGCAATTACTGTAAGGGCAACCACGAACACCCGAGACACTCAGGGACTGACGTGGGGGATCCAAAGATTAATTGACAGTAGCTAAATATACAGGGAAGCATACCTGATGTGGGGGATCCAAAGAGAAGAAACTCTGAGGATTCCCACGCCAGTCACAAGTATAAGTAAGCTACTAGCTAGGACCATGTGACCGGAGTGATCGGCAGATGTCCCGGGCTCAGTCACATGCAAGGTGCCATCGGGGGTCCCCCTGATGGCGGGTCACGTGCCGGCTTCCGGTACCGGTCCGGTAGACCGGTGACGGGGAGAGCGACCGGAAGGATCAGAGGGGCCGGAAGGGCGTTGGATGGGGGTCGGGACGGGGGTTCCCCTGACAATTACTGGAGACCATCATTGAATGTTGCCGGGCTTTAGGCCTGGAATCAAAGGCACACATCCTATAGTATATCTTGTGTACTACCTGCCAGTTCAATAGCACGAATTTTTTTCTGTCACCAATTAACGACGAGAATCCTGGGATGCCAGCCTCCAGAAACAAACAACTGGACATCGGCAGCCCAGAAATTATCAGGCGTGAGTGGATCGGATAATTGGGCAACAGTTCGAGGGATCTGTACGGACAAAAAAAAAATGTCTCTCTGTGTTGGCCTTCAAATCGAGGAGAAGAAGTTCGACATCAATTTCGTAGTCCAAATCAGTCTCAATTTTTAGGATTGGGAATCCATACAAGTCCGCGTGTATGTCCCGGACAGGAAGCCCGTCCACCATAGCACAATAAAAAGTTTGGTACTGGTGAGTCCAGATTCACTTATCTTCATTTGTTCCCCAGGTTTCACTACCGTCGCTGTTTTACAAGCAAATTTTTGCTGCCAAAAGCAGAGCCGGCTCGCTCCGGAATGACAACACAGGGACCAGCGCGGTGACATGGATGTGCTGTCGAGCTGTGGATGCTCGAGACAAGTTTTCAGCTAAGTTCCTACTGCGAGAGACTCGAGCCAAGCGAAGCTCGGGCGAAGGGCCTCGAGCCAAGTATTTATCAGAAATTCACACTGAAAACTCTCGCCGAAAGTTATACCCAGATACTTGCTTTAAAAATTCATAGTCTATTCTGTGAAGAACACGATCTCCCGTCTTTAGGCCATTGCAATAGATGATTTTACAACATACTCATCGTCGCACTCCACACCCATGCACATTGGATG